AATTCATTCCATTTTAAAAAAAATGATGAAATACCTATTAAAGATCATTCTAAAAATTCTCAACTTATTAACTTTTGTTATGATATTCTTCAAGAACTTGATATTAAGTCTAATATTCATCCATTTTACAAATATGATGAAAAGGAAATAAAAAATCCAATGGATTTATTTACCATAATTTCAAAATTAGAAAATGATCAATATACAAGTATAGAAGAATTTGAAAAAGATATTCGTCTTATATTTCGTAATTGTTATATATATAATGATATAGGAAGTGAAATGCATACTTTAGGAGAAGCATTGGAATCAACTTTTAATAAGGTATGGGCTGAAAAACTTATTTTCCAAGGTAAACAAAAAGAAAAATTAAAAAGAGTACGAGATAGTGATACTGATTCATCTTCTGGTAAATTATAATATTTTTATTATCTTTCTTCTATATTTATATAAATGTATTAATTATTAACTCTTTATAATTATTTATTAGAACTTGTAACAAAACAAATTCAAATTTTGGAACAAAACAAAGATAAATTAGTATATAAACAAGTTGTAAATGATGCTCTTCTTATTGCTTTAGCATATGAAAATCTTGTTGCAGATAATATTGTACCTTTTATTGAACTTATAAAAACATTTTTGTCAACAAGATCACAAATATCATTATCTTCTGCAGGTGAGCCTGTTCTTCAAGCAATTGTTGAAAATCTTTTACCATTAAAATATTGTATTCCTGAATTATCACTAGTAATGGATGGTACAAAATTAAAAGGGTTTGGCCGATTTGGGTATTCAGATATTTTTATCTTAAAAGGAATAGGAAATAATAATATTAGTTTAGAACTAAAATACATTTCATTAGTTGGATTAATTAAAACTCAAAAAAAAAAGTTTAATACAAATGATTTGGAAAATTTAGATAAAATTATTGAAAAAGAAGATAAAAAAATTCTATTAAAAAGATTATATGAATATTGGTCAAAAGAACATAATGAAATTAAGCAAATAACTATAGAAGAAATATTAAATAATGGAGTTAATCAATTGAAATCATATATGAATATTATTTCAAAAGGGAAATCAATTGATTATTATAGTTCAGGAATATTTGATAAAAGAATCAAAATAACTAAATCAAATCCTAATAAATTAAAAGGATTTGTTATATTAGTAATTGGGTTTCGGCGTATTTTATGGAAACCTGTGGAAGAAATAACATCTAATTATTCATATGAAAAAATTTAAAAAATATAATATAAAATCTATTAATAATTAAATTTTCAAATTATATAATTAAATTTGCATATAGGAAGTGGAAAAGTAAGGTTATACATTAAAATTATTAATTATAAATTTATTATTAATATAATTTTAAAATACTCGCGTTATAACGAATTTCAATATATATCATTGAATGGTTTAACTAATAAAAAGTTTATTATTATCCAAAGAAATAAAATATTCTTTTATCAAATTATTTAAAAAAGAAAAAAAAGATAAAGATAAAATAAAAATAAAAATAGATTATTTTATAAATAAAATTATAATAAATTAATTGTTTGGAGCGAAACATAGGACATTATATTATATTATTGCTCAGTCGATTGATTGGTCACCGCAGTATTCCTAATGACCGAACTATAACTCAGTTATTGAATGGGGATATGATATCTCTTTTCCCCCATCCAATAACTATTTATCATATTATATTGATAAGATCAAATTGTTTTTGTATATTAGGGAGCTTACACGCTTACACATATTATGAAATATTCACTAACCAAATTATAATATTTATAAATTAAAGCTCCTTAATCAGAATTTTAAAAATACTCATTAGATACATTTGAATCTTTATAATGTTTTCTGTATCTATAAATGCATTAAATGCACACTTTGATTCAGTCCCAAGTATATATGACCTCTATTCACCCTTTGTAATCGCACGCTTTTATCCAGTCTCAAGAGGGGGTGCATTTATAGAGAGTATCCTTTTTTATTTAATAGTTAAATTTATGATTAACCTGCTTAATTTTTTACAAAATAAATTTATTAAAATAAATTATTGAATTATTTTTCAAAAATAAATTCCTTTTTAATATAAATACAAAAATGTTCATTAAAGGTTAAACGAAACTTTGGTGATCCAGGTGTCGATGTTATCTGTGGTGAAGGTCCTGTCATTATATCAATCACTAAAGATAAATCAACTAAAATCAAAAGATAACATTTAATAAATAAATTATTCTATTTTTTTTTATTAAAAAAAAAACACTTAAATATTTGATACTTCACCAAATAGGACATTTGCCGAAAATGTTAGCGTTGTTATCAATAAAAATTCAATCTAATACCTGATTTTTTATTGATAAATATTAAACTATAATCGAAATAAACATTATTATTAATGTTTTTAATAACAAAATTTTCATAAATATTATGGATATTTTGGAAAAGTATGATTTGAAATTTTCGGCGAAATGACTTCGACAAGTCCTTCGGCGAAATGTCTATCCGGTGAAATGTTTATTCGATGAAATGTCTATTCGATGAAATGTCTCTTCGGTGAAATGTCCCTTTGGCGAAATGGCTTCGGTGAAATGTGTTTCGGTGAAATAGATTTCGACTCAGGAATCAGGATACCTATATTAATATTTTACAATACAGTAGATTAAAATCAAATCACATTAGATGAATTATTTACTTCACTGGGGTTTGCTTAATAAATCATCATCTAATTCTAATTCTTTTAATTTTCTATCTCTAATAACTTTATATTCAACTTCCAACATATCTTTTTCAAATTCATATAATTGTTTTATCGCTTCGTCTCTTAATGCAAATTTTAATTGACTTCTCACTAAAGCTGATACTTTAGGAAAATCATCAACCATCGCTTCTATTTCATTCCATAATCTGAAAAATGGTTTGACTGTCGGCTACATAATGAATCTTTTCAAGCGCCAACAATAAAGCTTAAAATGACGTTTGACGTTATATCTAAAAAGGAAGGAAAATTATATTGGAGAAAAACATAAATTACGTAAAGAGTTAGTAATCATACAATATTACTTACATTCGGTACTAACATCCCAATAATCACATAATAGTTCCGCCTCAATTGATGTTTTTGCAAATGGACAACTTCGTTCTGCAGGACGATTATGTTGTCTAAAATTATCAAATAACAAAATAAAGTTACGTGAGAAATCGGTTATATATGATAATATTACAGTCAGTCAATTTTACTTACTTTTTGAATATCTTTCTTCATAAATCCATGCATATTTTCAAGCCCTAAATATCCGACTCGTTAAATTTCCATTTTGGTGCGTCAGTCGTGAACCCAATTTTTCGCCATTTACCACCTTCTTCAGGTAAATTCGCTTTTGTCCATAATTCTTCCAACCTTCAGCTGCTTTACGCGGTGGAATATGTGTCCTTTTCATCGATATGATTGTCATACGAAGGAGGGATTGAACTTCTAGCAATCACTTTGATAATTCTTCTCCATGTACTCCGTTCAATAATAACTAAAACAAATTAAGAATTCAATCAGCGTTAAAAAAATCACAAAAGTCCAAAATAAAAAAAATGTGGTTTTATTATTCGTATCTTCTTTATTCATACCGCGAAATATTTCCTAACTTTTAACTTAGTTATCATATCCATAAAATTGGTTATAATTTATTTATAATTGTGATCGTATAATTTGTCAAAGCTGTACAATTTTTTTCCCGAAGTAATAGAATTTTTATCTGCTATAAACAATTTAATATTATGATCATAGAGGTCTACAAATAATGATTGTTTTATTAAATGTTATCACCTAAGGAAAATAAACAAAGTGATATATGAATGTTATTTAAGATGAAAAAAAAAGAACATATTTTAATCTTCAGTTTTATTTATAAAAGGAATCCTACCATGAACCTTCCCATTCCCACGATCATGCATAAGCAAGAGTATTCACCCCGAAATAATTTATTATATCGATAAAAGATGATAAACCATTTCGCCTTAAAATTCAAAAGTTTTGAATATATATTACACGACTTATTTAGTATAAATGAGATAGATATAAGAGTTTACCTTGATGCACTTTTAAAAAGAGGAGAATTCAATCTCAGCTTCCTGACCAACGACAACGAAACTAATTTTAACCGTTCATTCTCTTTAATTTGCGTCAGAGATTCTAAAGCTAAATGAAAAAAAAAATTAGATTCTTTGTTTGATCCATTTTATACATATAGGTAATTAGTCGTCAGCTATTTGAACATAAGTCTAATTATCTGATGATAGAAAAGTTGGTAAAAATTTGGTTGCTTCATTACATCGTGTAATACACTAAAGCTAAATTTTATATATTATAAATTAATTATAATCGGTGGAAACTCAAGCAATAACATTTAATTAAATAATTGTATGTTATTGTACGGGCGTGCTTGATAATGGTATGATGTGGCGCTTCGCGTCACATCTTAAGCACGCCCGTATAATAACGAATATTAACAATCCAAAATTTTTAATTTGGAATATGCAAGAGTATGTAGGTAGTACAGGTAGTACTAATCAAACACGTCAAAATATTTCGTAGCGAAAAATATATTCCGAATCTTTATCTATCACCTTATCACGAATAATTGCACTATTGAAAGGCAATTACCCAACTATAAAAGATAAAATTTATTAATAGTGATTTAATACTATATCTTTATTAATTTATTCAGAAAGTGAAATTAGCTTTTTTTAATTATATATGAAGACAATAATAATGAGAATATGAGATATGACCTTATGTCATTTAATTTCATTCAATTGATATTCGTATTTCGTTTGGAAGTAAGGTTTTCATGAGTTTGATTTCAATTTTCGAATAAAGTATTGCTCGCTATCCTGTGATATAACAATGAATTTCTACAAATAATCATTTGTATAATAAATATAATTTATTTAAAATGTTAAAATATGAATTATTCAAATTACAAACTAAGAGACGATTTGCTAATTGCTACTCTATTCTTAATGTTTAAATAATTCTAAATAAAAAAACAAATATATATAAATAATGAACGTAAGATATGATCATATAATTTATATAATTTAAATAATTAGAATCCATCTGTATTTAAACGAAAAAAAATGTTATTATAAAAAGTCTATAATAAATTTCAAAAACATACGTTTAGATTGTAATTACCATTAGGAATTTCGAATTCAACTTGTTCTTCTGAATGAAGATTTGGATTATTATATATTTCATCGTTATCTAATAAAAAAGAAAAAAAGGGGGGATAAAATTAAATATTTAATACAAAAATTCAAAAATTTATTATTAAATAAAATTTATAGATTGTACCATTAATATCATCAATATTATGCTTTCTGACTTGTATAGTTCCTTCTTTATAATTATCTTGATTATCTATAAAAAAAATTATTATTATTATAAATTATGAATTATTAGAATTACGATTGAACTTACCATTATTTGAATTTATTTGCATAGTTTCAAATACTTTAGACAGTTTTTTGCTATCATCTAATTATTAAAACCGAATGAATTATTAATATATTATTTGGAAAATAAGACTATAAAATTTAATAATTATTTACCTTTAAATATATCATTTGATTTTGATGTATTATTATTACTTTTGTTATCAAGGTCTTCAACTAAAAAATAATAAATGAATAAGTTTACTGTTTAATTTACTATATAACTTTAATTAATACTTACTATTATAGGGAATGCTAAAGCTGTAAGGTTTACTATGAAATGCTTTTAAGATTAATCTAATTAATAAATAACTTCGAATATAAATAAAATATGTATATATATATATATGTATATACCTTCTTGTTCTTCTATTATATTTTATATGAAATGGTCATTTAAAAAACTATGTTAGTAATGCGTTGTATGAAATACATCTTTTTTTGTGAAATATAAGAATATAATTATACCGACCTTCCGTTGCATTTTTTGGTTCAGGAAGATTTTTAAATTGATATACTTTACTTGTAAATAATCTACTATTTGTGTTAGTGGGTTCAAAATTATTTATTTCATATATTTTTGCAATAGTATTTGCTTTTGGTTTGGATAATTTAATTTTTTCAAATAATTTTTTAACTATACTCTTATTTTTTTTTAACTCATTTTGATAATTTAACCTATTCATTTCTTCTATTTTACTATTGAGAGTTTTAATATCAGGTCTTTTTGTTGGATCAGCATTCCAACATTGTTCCATTATTTCTTTATATTCTAAAGGAGTTCCTGGTACTATTTTTGGTCTCATTCCATTTATTATTTTTAGTGCAAGTTCATAATCATTTTCAAAATTAATAAAAGGTGGTTGTCCAGATGAAATTTCCCACATGAGCATTCCAATACTATAAATATCAGATGCGAAAGAAGTTTTTTTTCCAGAAATAACTTCTGGTGCAATATAAGGAAGATTTCCATATATACTATTTAATGGTTTATCAGCTGGTCCACAAAATCCAAGATCACTTATACGAATGTTTCCATGATTAAATAATATATTTCCAGAATGCAAATCTCTATGAATGGCATTTTCATTATGAATTAAATAAACGGCATCCACTATATGATAAATAATTTGAATTCTTCTTTCCCACATGATTTTATCATGATTTTGTTGTAAATATTCTCTTAAATTATAATCCAATTTATATATCGCAAGCATGTAATTTCCATCTGATGGATTTTTTGTTAAACCATAACATTGAACAACTTGTGCACATTTGCCACTTATAGATAAATGAGATTTACCCTATAAAAAAATAATGGATATTACTACATAATAATTATTTTAGTCACCTTTACAAATAATTCCTAAATTACATACCTCTTCAAACCAACTTCTATTAGCACTTTCAACATTTTCTAACTTTTTGAGTACTACATCATGTCCTCCATATCTTTTTAATTGTTTTTCTTTTGAATCCCATTCATTACAAAATCCATCAATCCAATCTGCTGTATAAATTTCGGAACATCCACCTTTAGTTAAATATTTAATATTTTGTAATTTATTATATGGGATCCATTCTACTATTTTATTTGGTGCAATTGTTTCCATTTGACATTGTTGTATTAAATCATCAATATCATTATTTCCAGATGTCCAGTTTGAAAAATTTGATTTTAAATAATTTCGAACACAATGTTCACAGTATAATGTAGCTAAACATTCATCATGACAATTTTCACAAATTCTTTTTGTTCCTTCATTATCAAGAAGTTTATAATAGTCAAAATCTTTATTTAATAATTTTACTGCATGTGATTTTTCATCTTTTGTAAGAGATTTGTCAGCAAGAATAGTTCGTTGCATAAATTCAAATTGTTTGTCTAAGGTATTTTGAATATTATAATCTGTTAATGCATATGCTCTATGGCATGCAGCAAAAACTATATCTTCTCGAATAGAAGCCATAATAAAAATTTTATTTTTTTTATCAATTTTAAATAAGTGAAAAAAAAAAGAATTCGTTAAATAAAACCTGAAACGGAGTTTTATTACGAGTAAGTTGCACAAATCATACATTTAATTGTACGACCTTCTTTGCTAATTTAGGATTATCTTAAATTACTTTCGAAGAAAAAAAGAGAAACATTGTTTAAGACATTTGATAGTGTTTATTAATAATTGAATAAACTAAAAACAATTATTAGAATAAGATTATTTTGAGGCAAACTTATCCCTTTTTTTTTTTTAAAAAAAAAAAAAAAAAAAAATACTATTTATAACATATAATTGTTATTAGAAAAAAAATTAATTATTCATAGAAAAAAAATTTAAAATTTTATCCATATTGTATTATTATCGTTCATTCGCATGAAAAGACAAACTTCAAAATTGATTATGATATTTTCAAATATTTTTTGTCTACCATGACCTCTTAACGGAATTAATAAAACTTCAATAATTCACGTAAATTTAGAAGTTTTTATCATCATTGGTATTTTAACTCATTTTATTTGGAATAATAATGAGGAAAAAATCATTATTGATTCGATAATATCTAAATCTTGCAATGAAAATAAATAAATTTATATCTTACAACAAAAATAAGATTAAATTCTTTTAATTCTCGAAAAAAAAATTATGCCTCAATTTTTATTATTACTATTAATTATTATAATAAATAATAATTTTTTTACTATAATATATTTAAAATAGTTACTTCAAACTGAACCTTTAGACAAAATAATAAAATAAATAAATAAATAAATAAATAAAAACATTAAATTAATTTGAAACCTAAATTTTTTGTACTTTTTTTTTTTTTCTCTAAGAGAAAGGATCATCATAATAAAATCCGCTACCACCAGTTCCAATGATAGGTAATTTATTTGGTACTTCGATATTTTGTGGTATTTCAACTTTTTCTCCACTTAAATCTAATAATTTAACTTTAACTCCAATTTCTGTTAATATATGTATATATTCTGCTGTATCTTTACTATTAATATTTTTATCAAATAACATATTAAGACCATCAGTCCATTCTGAATATTGTGTATAATCTCTTGCTATAAATTCTGTTAATACTGTATCTGGTCCTGACATTAATGAAAACGTTAAATCTTGTGATAAGTTATTGTTTGTTATGATGATATTTGTTGAAAGATGTTTTGAGATGGCTTTAGGTGGTGATCCAATTGTCGATGCTATCTGTGGCGAAGGTCCTGTCATTATATCAGTCACTAAAGATAAATCAACTAAAATCAAAAGATAAAATTTTAATAAAAAAAATCATTCGTTTATTTTTTTAAAAAAACAAATCAAATATTTAATACTATTAACTTACTTCTTTCGGGAAGATCCTCAATTCCATCTCTAATAAAAGTTTTCTCTGGAAAATCACTATAATGTAAAAATTTCAAATTCGGACTTAATCTATAAAATCTCCATTTTTTATTAATCATAGTCTTTTTTCCAAGATTTGTTGTAGAATTTAATGGAACATTTGTAGTTGTTGTAATTTGAAACCAATCTCCTATTAATAAACATTTAATACGTTGATTCTTTACGAATTCGTACGATTCTGTATATAATCTACTACGTAAATTCCTACGGTACAAAAAAAAAAATATAAATATAATAATATATATTAATATTTTGCTAATAAATTAAAATCGAAATCATATCTGATAAATTATTTACCTCACTGGAGTTTTGCTTAATAAATCATCACCTAATTCTAATTCTTTTAATTGTCTATCTCTAATAACTTTATATTCAACTTCTAGCATATCTTTTTCAAATTCATATAATTGTTTTGTCGCCTCGTCTCTTAATGCAAATTTTAATTGACTTCTCACTAAAGCCGATACTTTAGGAAAATCATCAACCGTCGCTTCCATTTCATTCCATAATCTGAAAAATGATTTGACTGTTATATAATGAATCTTTTCAAACGCTAACAATAAAGGTTGAAATGACGTTGATGTTGTATCTAAAAAGAATGGAAGAAGAAAAAGAAAATTATTAAAAGAAAAATATAAATTACGTAAATAGCTAGTAATTATACAACATCACTTACATCCAGTACTAACATCCCAATAATCACATAATAGTTCTGTAACTTCTATCGATGTTTTTGCAAATGGACATCTTCGTTCTGCAGGACGATTATGTTGTTCTAAGATTGTCTAATAACAAAAATAAAATTACGTGAGAAATCGGTTAAAAAATGATAATATTACAGTCGGTCGATTTTACTTACTTTTTGGTAATCATCAATATCTTTTTTCATAAATCCATGCATATTTTCAAGTCCTAAATATCCGACTCGTTGAATTTCCCATTTTGGTGCTTCAGTTGCGAACCCAATTTTTCGCCATTTACCACCTTCTTCAGGTAGATTTGCTTTTGACCATAATTCTTCCAACATTGCTTTATGTGATGGAATATGTAATGATACTTGTGTCCTTTTCCATCGATATGCTTGTCGTACGAAGAGGGATTGAAATTCTAGCAAATGTTTTGATAATTCATCTCCATGTACTCCATTCATCAATAACTAAGAGTTCAAATAGCGTTAAAAAAAGTCATCAAAATAAAAATTTCGATTGTTCGTAAATATTTCATACATACCGCGACAGCTTTCCTAACTTTTAGCTTAATCATCATATCCATAAAAGATTCCCAATGATGATCCGTAACATGTCTCATTAAAGCATTAATTAAACATAAACTATTCGAACACAAGACATAATCAGCAGATGAAAGACGTTGAACTAAAGTTGAAAAAAAATTTGGTTGCTTTATCATTGCATCATGTAATACATCAAAACCGTATGTTTTTATCGCCGAAGTTGTAGAATTTTTATCTGCTGTAGCTAATTTAATAATTATTGCCGTAGCAGGTCTACAAATATTCACTAACGTTTGTTTCACTAAAATATTTATCACCTAACGGAAAAGAAAATTGATTAGATAAACAATTATTTACGACGGAAAAAATCGCTTTGATCACATTGATCTCCTTACCTTATTGATAAAATCAAAGCCTAAATCTTCCCATCCATGATCATGTTCCATAAGATTTTGCATTGAAGTTAAAGCATAAGCAAGAGTATTTCCACTTGAATTATTTATTATATCAATAAGAGATTTTAATCCATTTCGTTTTAAAAACTCATCAGCGAATTCTACTTCCTAAAAAAAAAACAAATCGAATATATATTAATTGTTTTATTAAAATAAACATATTTGTGCTCACTTACCTTGATGTACTTTTGAAGAGAAAAGGTAGCCAATTTTAGGACTCTATCATCGTTAGAACCTAATTTTTCACAAATTTCGGCCGCTTCGATCAACGGTGATGAAACTAATTTCAACCGTTCATTCTCTTTTATTTTTCGTCGGAGATTCTAAATTCAAATGAGAAAGAAATTAAATTATCATTTTCAATTTTTTTGTAAACAAATAATTTAAATAATTAGTATAAATACCTCATCAGTAATCAATTCATCAGTATCCAACAACCTAAGAGCATAAAGGGCTGCAGGTTCTTGTATATTAAATTGTTCAATACACAAAGTTTTAATAATTTTTTCTATAGGTTGAGCAACATCAACATTACATAATACATTAGATTTATCATGATGAACGGTAACGGGAGTTGACATTACAGTTGGATTATTAAAAAGGATCGATTGTTTCTGATGACGTTTAGAAAATCTCCTACTATAACTTCCCCAAAGTTTCTTTGTTCTTTCCGTGGTGAAAATTTTTTGTAAGGGAAGAAAATTGGGGAGTAAAGGAGATAAAGGACACTAATCAAACAAAGATTATGTACGAAATTTATTATTTAATTAATTGATTGTTTTTTTTTTGTTATTAATTGTAAGGAATTATTATTATTATTATTATTGTTATTTTAATTTTTTTTTTTATTACACGTCAAAGGGACACAAATATACAAAAATCAATATAGACAACAAACAAATAAATTTTTTTTAGGGATTCAATCAAATGAGGTATGGTCAAAAAAAGAAAATATAGTAACAATAAATTTTATGAACCCCTAAAATTTCTGCAAAGTGTTAAACCATGTTTAATTATACTTTGAATAAATTTGGTAATTGTAGATAGATCTAAACCTAAATTATGCGCGATCGGATTGTCCGTGCAAAGTTATACGATAACTAATAGATCATTTTTATAAATATTTTAACATAAATAGTTAATTTAAAAAAATATATAGTATATTTGTAATTTTGATATTCCATTATATGAGAAGACGACATAACGAATTAAACGTAAAGTTTTATTACACAATTTATGAATTTTTACGTAATAAAAAAATATATATATATCTGATATATATATTTTTTTAAAATTTTATATCAATTTTTGACGTACTGTACCTTTTTTTATAAAAAAAAATTAGGTAATTTTTTGGAGAATTTTAATTTTATAAGTATTAATTCTGTGATATGTCGAATTATTCGACAACGTTACTATTACTGTATAGTTATGAATGTGGTGGAACAAAGCGTGCGACTTGTTAAACTTCATACCATGGTTTCTTATTAGTCTTATTTTTTATTGCTCTTATAATTAATTCGAATGTTATAATTGTGTAATTTAAAGCACTAACTATTATTATACTACACTAAACTGTAATTTGTCTAAAAACATTTTAGAGGATTTGGTTGAACATGATTTCATTTAAGTTATAAAAGAAATTCTGGAATTACAAATTCGCGAAGCTGAACTTTCCTCACTAGTTACTGTTTTAAAAAAATTACCCTTGGTATTCTGCAATAATAAGCGCAAAAAATCTTATATGTAAATTTTCAAATTACATTTTCTTTTAACAGTTTCTTTGATTCACGTGATTCATGTGAGTTCGACATTCAATAACGTGATTGGCCATTCTTTGTGATTAATGCACCTGCAAGTTCACCACATTAATCGTCACTTCTATCACCTGTTTCATATAATATTTAATATATTATGCATGGGTGTGACCAAAAACGATATTTATTTACTTTGTTTATGAAACTCGCTCCGGAATTTTTTAATCCATTAAATTTCATTTTTAATAAAAAAAATTGTTTATTTCACATTATGACTTTTATTCGAAACAACATAGTTTTTGCTGCACTTCATAGAGCATATGGATTAATAGATTATAATATTCAAGATAACTTAGAAAAACAATTTGAATTTAGGAAACGGATAAATCTCTTACGTTAGATAGAGATTTTGATTATTATAAACTTCTTTTAATGAAGGAACAAAAAGAATTTGTGTATCTATTTTATACTCTATATATCCCTTTAACCTTTCCTGTTATTCATCGTTTTTTACCACCATATAATCTAACTACCACTCACCATTTGATCTAACTATCACCATATAATCTAACCACGCTTTTCTTCTTGTTTCTGAGTCTTTTGCATATCAATTTCTATATTGGGGCTGCTAGTTGTCTGTAGCTTTTTGGATATCTGGTTTTATGTTGAGTGTGCTGGCCTCCTGTGCCTGGTTGGATGCTGGATTCTTTATTGAAATGCTTACCCTTTGCGCTTGTTTGATTGCCTGTTAAAATGCCAAATTGTGGTAAAAAAATCGTGTCAGGTGGCGCAGTAAATTTGCGTTTAATTTTGGCTGACACTATGCCATAATTTCGGCTGATCTTTAGGATACGTGATTTGAAGATCCAGCTCCATGATAGTGCCATGGTAGTGACTTGGAACTGGCAGGAAACCAGAGTATTTCTATTAATTCACCAGCTTGGATGCCGAAATATTATGCCAAAGTTCTGACTAGAATTATGGAATAGTGCTGGCCAAAATTAATCAAAAATTTTCTGCACCTTACTGCGCTAATCATGTGATTCAGTTCCTCGCCAATTCCCAGCATTTTTCCGTCACTTTCTCGCATCTTTCGAGTAACTTTCAAGGGTCAGTTAGTTAAAGGATTGGAGTTTTAATAGGCATTATTATGGTCAGCTTATTTGTTTGCCGGAACTGCGCACCTTGCAACCAAAGCAACTATTGCCTATTTTAATATTGCCGGTACATATATGCCAATTTTGTGTCCGAAGTTGGAGGTGCGATATGTATTATAGTGGTCGGCCCATTTATACCATACTTGAGTACATATCTAGAAAGATAAAGTCTTCTTCCATTATTTTATATAAAGATTTCAAAAAAGACTTCATGCCATATCTGAGTACATACTTTGAGATGGGAACGGAGTGGAGGCTTCTGCCAATATTTATATAATAGATTACGCAGTTATCCGGATACATACTAGTAATAGAATATCCTTCTTCCATAATTTTATATAAAGATTCTGAAGAAAGATACCCTGGATGATGTATCCAGATACATACTAGGATGACATACCCGGATACATACTAGTGATAGGGTAGTCTTCTTTCAATTCCTAAATATGAAGCCCATAGTGAGAAAAAACTTGCCCTATACATACACAACTTCTGGCATATACATACCTTATTTTTGCATTATTTTACAGGAAATATTTTTGCGAAAAGTTGGCTGAACTTCCATACTCCTACATGCTATATATCTTGCTGGAAAAAAAGATAAGGGATAAAAATAGTGATTAGCATTGTTGTATGATGCCAAGAGTTCCATGAAAGCACATGTAAACGGAATCCTCATACCTTTTCATATGGAGATCTACTCTGCAAGACACAGTTGGTTTTACACCTGGCGATCTCGAAATTGCGAAGTCCTCAGCTTTTCATAACATATACTTTTGTCAGTACTATTAACTTATAGGGTAGATTCTGTTGCAACTAAACGCTCTTTTACATTTTTCTCATGTTTATACAGGGAAAAAATAAAGAACAAATTTTTTTTTTGAATGTGCTAGATATGTGAAAATTAATATTACACAAACTTGCCTATCTGATCATTTATTTTATCACAAGGCACTAAGCAATCTAAGCATGGCTCAGCAATTCTTCTAAATCAATGATCACTGCTCTGGATTAGTTAGATAGGAAGAGTACTAATTACAATAAATATCAGATTCATTTTTATTCGATTACAGCATATCAGGGATTTATATAGAATCATTTCTCAGCCAAGCTAATTTTATATTTACATGCATATTATCATAGCGCTGAGTTGTTTCTCAAAATCATGGGATGATCAGTTAATCAGATTTTGTATAGCTAAAAAAAGAAACATTATAACTGTCATAACTCATAGCACAGTGTTTATTTTTTTAATTGCCAAAGCAGGACACATGTTTATAAAATTCGAAATAAAAGGTCCATTTGGGACCATAATATTTTTTGTAAAGTATTACATGAGAAAAAGTCAGCCAGGAGAAATATAACAAGCTAAGATCTATATGATATAATTCAAAATAGACTACATATAATACAAATGAACTATATGTAATTTAGATCTACTGTATATCATCCAAATTATCCTCTTCACTTGAGCCTAAGTTAATAAAAGTATTTAGCTATATATTACGCTAAAACCTAGCATTAAGATATTAAAACATTTACCTGTAAAAGAGGATGAATCATTAAAGCCGGATATAGAAGTAATATTTAGAATATGTGGGGCCAGAATTCTTAAATATCCTTCAAGGTGGTCAAGTTTTTCACGGATGGTAAGGATCTCATCATTTGATCGAGTATGTTTATTAAGCTGTTCACTAAAGCGAGCTGTATTTGTTATAAAATTATCATATTGCTCGTCATTTGCTAACTAAACACGCTCTTTGATATTAAGAAACTTATCATATAATGCTAACATGTTTTTATGGTTCTCGATATTAATTTCGTTGAACTTTTTGGTCAGATATATTTTAATTTCATCATCCAAACCCGTTTCCTTATTATATAGTTGATTAAGAAGGGCATCTGTACTCACTTCTATATTTTCTAAAGTAGAATTAATATCACCAAACTTCTTGTTAAAAATTAGTTCCAAATGAGTTTGAACTGCCATAGAAATCTTGCTGGCTTGTGCGTAAGCATCATTAGTAAGTTAAAGTCTACTGTCACGTAAGATTTACCAGATAACACCGAAATGTAGAATAAAGCGTAAATCATTTCTGAAGTATTGAACAAGACTTGAATACTCTACATTTCCTCTATGAATAAATGATTATGATTAGATGTAGTTGTTGCAGGGAGAAACAAACTATCACGTTGCCATATTTCTTGAATATTGTTTTATTGGTTTACACGATAGTAGATTTTATTTTTTTTTCTTGCACAAAGCAAATATAAAATTCCAACTAAATGAATTTGCACTGCTTTTATAGGTTTTGGGTCTCTTATGATGCAGACATAATCCCATTAGGATAGTTTTAATAACACTGTAGGATATTAGAATAATTTTATTACATTATAATCACATTATTACGCACCTACAACAGACATTATAATAACTTGTATAAAATTACTTTTGCCGATGCAAAGGAATTGAGTAAAGTGAAAGAAAATAGAACTTTTTTTTTACTATTTTGTTAAAATTTTTACGATATCACTAAATATATATTGATTGGTTGTTCTGATTTAGCCAATAAAAACATCTTCCGTGAATAATCTAGACTTTCCAACTGTTTTTATAGTTTTCTTTATAATCAAGTCCGATATTCAATATCGTACACGCAATAATTTTCAAATTTGATATTCGAATGACAATTATGTAATGAAAGCGGATTGTAGACAATTTTGGACAAGATGGTTCGATTTATAATCATAGGAATCAAAAGGCCTATTTTCGGCTGAAATTCTAGCACTTTTAATTTAGAACATTTTACATTTTACATGCGGAGTTTTGTATGTAAATTATCTTTATTGCCTTGAATTTTTTTCTTTCAATTTAGAAAAAAAGGTTATATAAAACAAAAGGTACATTCAACAACAAAGAGAACGTAATACAATATTTTTCAGCTTATGATTTTGATTCTTAATAAGAAAAGCCCAATTTTATTTTCGTAATTACATTAATTGGAATCGTTTTTCTACATTCAAATACAGCTAATCAAAAAGATTTCAATGAATAAGGGATTAAACTTATTTAGGAATAGGGTTTTATTAGGAACTCATGCTAGAATATATTAATTGCTTCATACATGATGATTGTACTTAACAACATTTATTAGGTAAGTTTTCTACAATCATATTTTACATGATTGCTAATAAGAGGTTGGTTAATTTCTTGTAATTAACAATTGAAGACATACACAAATCATAAAATCTTTGAATAATATCTATAATAAAGTGATAATCAAACCTGTAACAAGAAACTATATAAGTAGATCTTTTATCATCATGTTGGTTTTGACAGAGAAAGGTCCTCATAAATTGAACGTTTAGTTTTTGTTTATGAAGAACTCTTGATTGTGTGTCAGCATCTTCAAATATAATAATTGATTAGCAGGAATAGCACTGAAAGCTGAACTTAAATCGTTATCATTCTTAATGGTTTGGAGATTCATATATCTCGAGAGAGCGAAAGAGTTGATATAATGGATTTTTAAAAAATACCATAATTCCATGAAATGATGTATTGTCTAGCTCTTTCTGAGCATCTCTCAAAGATTGTTGTATTCCACCATGGAACTCTTGGTTACTTTTATACTTTAGCAAGATTAAAAGTTCATAATTTTCAAGTGACATAGAAATTAGAACATTTTCTAGTTTTGAAAGATAGCCTTTTTCTTTTTCAGAATAATTGATGTTCTCGAATGCCACTTTATTAAAAATGGCTTTCTGTGACTTGCTCCATACGTCCCACTCTACTTCAGCTTTTAGATTCTTATTAAAATAAGTCACCTAATCCCTATACTTGCCAAAAGCATTTTTGTCTTCTAATTTGACTAATAGTCTTTTCACAAGAACAAGTACATCATCATTAACGTTTCTTTGTTTTCCTATTAAATTGTATAAATGTTTTGCACTGTCTCCTAGTTTTTCCAAGCATTGTATACAATCATTATATTTTTCCTCACAAACGTTTCCCATGAGATCTTCCCTAAGTCTTTCATCCTCAATAATACGCGTGTTTAAAGGGTTGACGAGGTTAGTATGTTGTTGTATCAATCTATTAAATTCCAGTGTTTCAAGTGTTTCCATAGTTAAAGATTATTTTTAAAAAGTATACGTCAAAAAAATATTGTTTTTTATAAAGAATATAATGGTACACGGGGATACTGATACTTTATATACTTTCGTACATAAACTTTTGGTGACGTAATACAGCAAATAGGTACAGTACATTACTCATTAATTGCAAATTTTCAGGTCGTACGAGTAGTGATACCGATGTGAAATAAAAGATTCTACGTCACAATTACACGTGATCTGCTTTCTCTTGTACATTTGATAAAATAATAACAGATAATAATACTTTATTTACGTCGTCAGAAGCGGACAATAATACATAAAAAATTGCAAATAGAGGTCCGACCAGGACCGGGATCGCTTTACACAATACAAATAAAAAATTCTAATTATCTTTGCTTAGTACCTCTAGCACTGTTTCAGTGGGAGGATACGATAACATTGTCCCTTTTCACTGGAAAAGATACGTTGAAGCTGTATGGGAAAATGATTAAAAATTGTGTCTTGCAGTTCAATATATATACAGTATATATATATATTCATTGATGTAGTTGATTATGACACTATCAGCTATAAACGTGACTTATATAAAGTCAAACTGGTCAAATCTATACAGTGACACCTCTATAAGTGCACCCTCTATAAGTGCACGCACTATATAAATTCTCTTTAAGTGCACGGTGGGCCTGGTCCCAACTTATAAGAGCTCTTAATATTTTACTCTCTATAAATGCACACCCTCTCTAAGTGCACATTCTACTATTTTTTTACTATGGTCCCAAGGGGGGTGCACTTAGAGAGGTGTCACTGTATCTTGAAATTGATTAACTGATTTCATTTGCAAGAGAAGAAACTTGATTGTCATTAGCATTAGATATTGTTACTTTGAAACAAGTTAACATTAAACATGGCAGGGAGCTATAGTCATAGTATAATTAGAACTGTAATAATTCTGACTTTTTTTTTAATTAAGTTGGTTTATACTACCATACAGTATCATAATTATTATGATAAATAGTTTTTAAGATTTAAAGAGAATTTCTAAATTTTAACTGGTGGAAAAATTACTGGTAGATCATGTGATTGTGTATTAAATATTCATGTGATTTATTATGATGATGCAATTTCATTTGGCTCGCTTCGCTCGCCGGGCTTTTCTAGCCAAACCATAACTTTCACTTTATTTGCAAAATTTTTGATTATATTTAACATATCTATAAAAAAAAATGAGAAATTACTCTTAACTAGCTATTAACATAATTTTTTTCTCATTTGGTAAAGGATGATCATTTTCGGTTTATTTTGCTTGTTAATCATTTTTGGCTTAGTTATTTCACTTGTTAATCATTTTAAGGTTAATTATCTTGATTGTTGTTTATTTTTTGGTTTAAAAATAAAAAAATATATATATC